CTGGCTGGGGGGCACACCGGCAGCCGCCCCACGGTTCAGGTCTCCCCCCAGGCCGGGCTGCAGACCCTGCAGGACCTGGGCCCCGAGATGCGCCGGGCGCTGTCCTGCGACCTGGAGGAGGGGGAGGAGGCGGCCGGGGAGACCCTGTGTGAGGAGGAGCAGCTGACGTGCCAGGTGAGACCCCCCGTTCCCCCCACGCACCCGCTTTCCCCTCCCGCCACGGCTCCCGGTACCACCCCCGTCTGCCCCCCTCCCCAGCACCCCGTCCCCCCCCCAGCACCCGCTTTCCCCTCCCGCCACGGCTCCTGGTACCACCCCTGTCTGCCTAGCCCCCCTGGGTGTCCCCCAAGCCCCCCTTTCCTGCAGCGAAGCCCCCACCCCCAATTAACCCCTCCCCCCGTGTTCCCACAGACCCCAGAGGGACTGCTCGGCAGCGCCCCCGACCACCACCCCACGGCGCCCATCTCCGCCCCGTCCGAGGGGGGTGGGGAGCCCCTGGCCAACAGGCTGCTGGACCCCCGGCGCCCCTCTTCCGCCAGTCTGGCCAGGACCCCCAACGGCCCCCCCAGCTACGAGGAGAACGAGGGGGGGCAGGAGGAGCTGCCAGAGCTACCCCACATCCCCAGCAGGCGCCGCATGAGCAGGTACCGGACACCGGGGTTCTCTCCCCGGCTCTGGGAGGGGAGGGGGGCTGGTGGGTTGGATCAGGGGGGGCTGGGAGCCAGGACTCCTGGGTTCTCTCCCTGGCTCTGGGAGGGGAGTGGGGGCTGGTGGGTTGGATCGAGGGGGGCTGGGGAGCCAGGACTCCTGGGTTCTCTCCCTGGCTCTGGGAGGGGAGTGGAGGCTGGTGGGTTGGATCAGGGGGGGCTGGGAGCCCGGACTCCTGGGTTCTCTCCCCGGCTCTGGGAGGGGAGTGGGGCTGGTGGGTTGGATCAGGGGAGGCTGGGAGCCAGGACTCCTGGGTTCCTGATGTCCGTGTGTCTGTCCAGGCGGAGCTCCGACGGGAGCTGTATCCCCCCGACGGTGCATGAAGAGCCCACCCCAGCCGAGGAGGACAGCGAGGGGACTGCGGGGCAGCAAGGCTACAATAGCCGGGAGGAGGACTCAGAGAGCCTGGCTTCTCGGGACAGGTGGGGCGCTGAGATGCAGCCATCTCTGGGGCGGGGCGGCTGGGGAACAGCCGCACATAACGCCTCATGGGGAGGACTCTCCCACATTGGGATTGAGCTCGGACGCCTGGGTTCCCGCCCTGACTCTTGTGGGTTGGAGCTGGAGTGGGGCTTGGGTTTAGCCCACCTCCTAGTGATTAGGGAGCACCCCCCACATTGCCCAACGGGGGAGCTGGACAGGGGGCAGGGCTCACTGAGGTGTTTTCTGTCCCTCTCTCTCCTGCTGCGTCCTTTGTCTTCCCTTCCTTCATTTTTGACCCCCTGGGGTTCGGCCCCAGATGCCGGGGTTCCCCCTTCCTCTCTTCCTCTGCCCCCTTCCTTCCTTTATTTCTTTCATTCCTTCTCCGGCTCAGGCAGCCGTGTCTGGGGGACGCCCGCCTCTACCGGCACCGCTGGAACAATGGCTATGGGGGGTCCCTGCCGCTGCCACACCGCCGCCTCTCCAACGCCCACCTGGATGGGGGGCCTGGGGGCCGCCTGGCCAAGCGCCGACGCCTCCTGCCCCCCACGCCCGCAGGTAGAGGACTGGGGGGGCCAGGGCTAGCAAAGAGGAGGGTGAGGGGCCACAGGGATGGGGCTAGGGGGGTGGGGCAAACAGCTGGAAGTGGTGCTGGGGGCGGGGCAAGAGATAAAGATAGGGTGGTGGGTGGAGCTTGTGGAGGGGCTGGAAGGTGCATGTGGCGGATTGTAAGGGGCGGGGCTAGGGGAGGGGCTGGAAGGAACATTGAGGCAGGATAAGGGGCGGGGCTATGGTTGTGGGCGGGGCTAGGGGAGGGGCTGGAAGGAACATTGATGTGGGGCAAGGGGCGGAGTTAAAGTGGGCAGGGGAGGGGAGATTTGGGGCTGGGGCAAGGTGGGAGGGGCAGGGGGTGGGGCTTGATGGGGAAGGGGCGGGGCCTGGGCTGGGGGCATGTGAGCGCTGGGGAGTAATGCCTCCCCCCCCCCGTTGCCCCCCCCAGGCCGGAAGCCGCCCTTCCTCATGCAGTGTTTGCAGCGGCAGGGCAGCTGTGAGGACATGCCCATCCCGGGCACCTACCACCAGAACGCCCCGGCCCGGCGCCACCCCCCCCAGGTACCGGGGGGGCGGGGCTGTGCACGACCTGCACCTGGGGCCGCCTCTCGCACGGCCATTCGCACGAGGCGGCCTGCCCGGGGTCTCGGAAGGGACGATCTGTGGCCGGCAGGCGTGCGAGGTGGCAGAGCCGGTGCAGAGCTCTCTCGCTCTCGGTCGCGGTGTCCCGGCTGGTCAGTGCTCGGGCCAGGCCCGGCTCTAGGCACCAGCACAGCGAGCCCGTGCTCGGGGCGGCACAATTCCAGGGGGCGGCACTCCGGGCAGTTGTGCTCTCGGCGCTTGGGGGTGGGGCAAAAAACCTAGAGCCGGCCCTGCTGGGGACGGGCACCTAGCGCCCGCTGGGGGGTGGGTGCCCCCTTTGGTGCCACGGGTCGTCTCCCAGCCTGTGTCCATAACAGCCAGCTCTGCACGTGGGGCTGAGCTGCCGGGCGTGTGCGTGCGATGGTGCGACGGGACATTTGATGGTGCGATGGGGGGCTGAGTGTCCATGATGGTGCAACGGGGGCGTGTGCATGTGATGGTGCAACAGGGGACGTGTGCGTGCAATGTGGGCATGCGTGTGCGATGGTGCGAGAGGGGGCGTGTGCGTGTGATGGGGGCTGCGTGTTCGCGATGGTGCGACGAGGGGCGTGTGCGTGCGATGGGGGGGCGTGTGCATATCTGCTCCCCCCACATCCCCCCTCACCCCGTTCTCCCCCCCAGGGCTACGGCAGCGCCGCCTCGTGGCACAGCACCACCCCCCCGGGGGACTCCTCGCAGGCGTGGGCGGCGCCCCCCAGGCGGGGCCGGCTGCTCTACGCCCCACTGCTGCTGGTGGAGGAGGGGGGGCTGACGGTCAGGGGCTGGGGGGAGAAGAGCAGCAGCCGCAGCCTCCCGCCCCCCTCCCGCGCCCGCTGGGGGCCCCGAGCCGGACCTGCCCTGGCCCCCCTACGCCCATCTCCACGTGCCCAGCCCCGGCTACCACGACCAGCGGGGCAGCGCTGACAGCCTGGTGGAAGCCGTGAGTCGGGGGGGGTGCCGGCTGGTGGGAGGGCAGGGAATGGGGCAGGGGCCCGTCCCCTCCGGGGGGCGCCGGCTGCCTGTGGGGGGCGGGGAATGGGGCTCTGGGGGGCGCCGGCTGGCTGTGGAGGGCGGGGAATGGGACAGGGGCCCGTCCCCGCTGGGGGGCGCCAGCTGGCTGTGGGGGGTGGGGAATGGGACAGGGGCCCGTCCCCGCTGGGGGGCGCCGGCTGGCTGTGGGGGGGGCGGGAAATGGGGCTCTGGGGGGCAGGGACCGGGGGCTGGCTGGGGGCCGGGCGGGCGCCTCGTCTCTCTGACTCCCCGTCCCCCCAGGTGCTGATCTCCGAGGGCCTGGGGCTCTACGCCCGGGACCCCAAGTTCGTGGCCTTCGCCAAGCGGGAGATCGCCGACGCCTGTCACATGACCATCGCCGAGATGGACAGCGCCGCCTCCGACCTGCTGAGCCGCGGGCGGGGAGCCGGGGGGCGCGGGGGCCCCTGGGCAGCGACGGCGAGGGGGCCCCCTGGGCAGCGACGAGGAGCCCTTCCGCTCACGGGCTGAGGACGAGCTGGCTGACGAGATGGTCTGTGTGGCCTCGTATTGACCGGAGCGGGGGCGCGAGGACCCCCCCGAGGAGACCCCCAGCCCCCCCAGGACTCAGAGTTACGGCTGGACCCGCCCCCAAGGGCAGGGAGCCGTGGGACACACACACACCCCCGGGGGCTGCAGCCAGGGGGAATGGGGGGCAGGAGAAGACACAGCAGAGGAGGGGCTTCCCCCCCGAACGCAGCCCCCCCATTGCCGAGGCGGGCTCCTGCCCTAGCGGTGGCTGTGCCAGCAGCCCCCCCACTTTGCTGAATCCACGCCCCCACCCAATGGGGAGCCGCCCCTGGGTCAGGGGGGCGGAGCTAGGACACTCCAATAAAGTCTCTTTGGAAGAAGTGAGGTTTGGGGTCTCCTGGTGGGAGGGGGGGAACGTCGCATGGCCCCCCCAGCACAGGATATTTGGGTGGGGAAATCGCCTAGAGGAACAGGAGTGTGGCTGCATCTACCCCAATGGGAGCCCCCACTCCCAGGGAGAGAACCCAGGAGTCCAGCTCCCAGCCCCACTGCTCTGACCCACCAGCCCCCACTCCCCTCCCCAGAGCCGGGGAGAGAACCCAGGAGTCCTGGCTCCCAGCCCCCCTGCTCTAACCACCAGCTCCCACTCCCCTCCCAGAGCCGGGGAGAGAACCCAGGAGTCCTGGCTCCCAGCCCCCCTGCTCTAACCACCAGCCCCCACTCCCCTCCCAGAGCCGGGGAGAGAACCCAGGAGTCCTGGCTCCCAGCCCCCCCTGCTCTAACCCACCAGCCCCCACCCCGAGACGGGGAGAGACTGGGGAGGGGGGATCTAGAGCCCATGGATGCCGCCAGCCCAGTAGCCGCCCCCAGAACAGACCCCTGGGCCTAGCCAGTGTCGGGGGGGGGGGCTGCCCTCGCGGACTGATGGACAGTTGAGTCAGATGGGTTCTTATCTCGTCCCAGCGCTGGCGGGGGGGATTAGAGGGGGGCTCTCCCTGGCCCCAGTTAACCCTCTATAAATACCCACAATTCCTCCCTGATCCAGCCCCCACCCCACATCAGGCCAGGAATGGAGGGGGCACATCTGGGGGTGACCCCTGGGGCCAGGAGTCCATCCAAGCGCACCCGCCCTGCAGGGCTCACACAGGGATGGTTTGCCCAGTGCTGAGATGCAGCCAGCTCTGGGGCTGGGTGGCTGGGGATAACGCTGTGCGAGACTGGCTCGCCTGGCACTGAGATGCAGCCACCTCTGGGGCAGAGCAACCAGGGAACAGCCGTGTATAACACTGCATGAGAATGGCTCGCCTGGCACTGAGATGCAGCCAGCTGTGGGGTGGGGTAGCCCGGGAACGGCCGTGTATAACGCTGCACGAGACGGGCTCGCCTGGCACTGAGATGCAGCCAGCTGTGGGGTGGGGTAGCCCGGGAACGGCCGTGTATAACGCTGCACGAGACTGGCTCGCCTGGCAATGAGATGCAGCCGCCTCTCGGGTTGGGTGGCTGGGGAACAGCTGTGTATAACACTGCGTGAGAATGGCTCGCCTGGCACTGAGATGCAGCTGTCTCTGGGGCAGAGCAACCAGGGAACAGCCGTGTATAACACTGCATGAGAATGGCTCGCCTGGCACTGAGATGCAGCCGCCTCTGGGGCAGAGCAACCGGGGAACAGCCGTGTATAACGCCGCCGGGTTTACTTGGCATGGAAGTCGGGGGGTCGCAGCGCCCGCAGGCCGGGGTGAGGCACGGGGAGGCAGGAGACGGGCGGGTGGTTCCCGGGGACGTGGCGAGGGTTGCGCCCGCTGGCTCGGGCGGGGCTGTGCCCGAAGCCCCTCGGCCGGGCAGCCCGGTGCCTAACTCCTCCCCTCCAAGGCCTTTGCGGACGCGGCCGGGCCCGAGCCCCCCGGCTTTCAACGCTGTCCCCGTCAGTGGGGCAGCCCCCCCCCCAGGGGTCCCGCTTTTCCTGCGGGCCCCAGGCACAGTGCAGAGGGGAAACTGAGGCACACACTCCCCAAATCCGCACGTCGTCAGCCCCCCTCCCCCCCGGCATTGGTGGCGGGCTCGTTAGCGCTGCAGCCTCGTTCGTTAGCGCCAGGGTTAATTGGGCAGCCCCTGGGCCTGGCTGCTCATTAGTGCCGCAGCCTCACTAATTAGCCTGGGGTTAATTGGGAGCCTGGCCCCGGGTCCCCCCAGGGCCCCTTCGTTAATGACCCCGGGGATCTTGTTAATCAGGGTAATTAGCTAATTGGGGCTGGCTAATCAGCGCTAACGAAGGGACCTAGTAATTGGGTGGGTTTCAAGGGGCAGCCCAAGTCACTAATTATCACTTAATTAATCCTAATTAATGGTTGGCACGAATTGGGGTGGGGGAGGGGGAGCTGGAGGACCAAAGAGGGTAACGTTCCCTGCCTGCATCTCTATGGTCATTGCGGTTCCGGGCTCATAAGGGGACGCTCTGCCCACGGGTGGCGCCTTAATCTCTATCGTGGTTACTTCCGGTTTTTCAGCGAGCGACGCTGTGTCCCTCGCGTCTCTATGGTCGCTACTTCCGGCTTGAGCCCCTGCGTCTCTATGGTTCTCACTTCCGGTTTGTAGGGGGCGAAGGGCGCGACTCTATGATCCTGCGGCCCCTGAGCGCGACTACGGCGCCCGGCTCCACTTCCTGCTTCCGGGTGACGTTCCCGCCGGCCTCCCCCGGCAACTCTATGCTCCGCCCTTAAAGTCACCCGCACCGTTCTAGGCACCGCCGGGCCGGGGGCGGGTTTTTGTCCTCCGACGGGCGGGGGCCGGAAGATGGCGCAGGCTCTGTCGGCGGAGGAGTTCCAGCGGCTGCAGGTGCGGGGGGGACCCAGGCGTCCGGGCCCCCCGCTCTCGACCCCCCCTCCCCGAGCGTGGGGGGGACCCAGGCGTCCGGCCCCCCCCCTCGCTCTGACCCCCCCTCCT